TCAAGTCATTTTCAGTCCTTCTCACCTAAATATCAATCCAATTTTCATACAACTAATGACTTTATATTACTCAAGTCATCAACTTCTCCCAAAGGTGGTGGTGGAGTGCATTTAGATATCTGCAGCAAAGAGCATTCTAGAAACAAAACAAAAAGCTTTCTTTAAAATATATTTTATTGATTTTTTACAGAGAGGAAGGGAGAGGGATAGAGAGTTAGAAACATCAATGAGAGAGAGACACTGATCAGCTGCCTCCTGCACACCTCCTACTGGGGATGTGCCCGCAACCAAGGTACATGCCCTTGACCGGAATCGAACCTGGGACCCTTCAGTCTGCAGGCTGACACTCTATCCACTGAGCCAAACTGGTTAGGGCACAAAAAGCTTTTTGCTATGTTCGTGAAAAGGGTGAAAGTGCTTACCCAGCATGACCCCCACAGTGATGCAGATGAGGATATGAATAGCTTTAGAGCACTGACCATCCGTCACCCCACTCGCCAGAGATACTGGACATCCACAGCCGCACGGCAGAGCCAAGGACAGACCCAAAGGTGCTCACCACCCAAGTCCTTTCTGGGGCAGAGAGCAGATAGTGGTGTGAGTACTTGACACACATAAAACAGTCCAGATCAGCTTCTTTGTCAGTTTAGACAAATTACAATGTGTCACCCACTTCTGACTTACATAGAACCACTCTGTCCCAAAGAATCTGCCCTTAGGAGATGGCAAAGTGGTGCTTAAAGTCAATAACACTCTCCGCCCCCGATACACACACACTTTTTTCGTGTGGTTCTAGTAACTACACTCACTCATATGTAGGATCAAAAATTGAGCCTCCTCTCTCTGAGGGTGAGTTGGTAAGACAGAGCCCGCAGCTTCTCTCAGAGAAGCCATCCAGGCAGCCAGACTTGGCAAAAGGACCTGGTAATCAATGGAAGAGTGAAGCACTTGGCAGCTGTGTTCACACCCACCCATTCTCTTAGAAACCATTGTGAGGGAGAGTCACAATGTTCCTGTCAAACTAGCTTCCAAGTTCATTTATCCCCATTTCCTTCTCCAAGGAGCCTGCAAGCAGAGCTCACAAGTGCTGGCGTATGCACAGGCGTGTTTACATTTGGGTGGGTTTTGGAGTCTGAAAAGAAATCGGAGGAAAAGGATGTTTCTGGAAATCAAGCTGTTATTCCACCTACGCATCTGAATGACTCCCTAATTTTAAGCCTCATTTACATAAGAGACTTGGAATAGCTCTGCTTTTATGATTTTAATAGACTTTCCAATCTGTACTTAGCCATCTGATATAATGAAGTAGGTGGACTTCAGTCTTTACAGGAAAAATAATAAACATTCTGAAAGCTGTAATTTACATTTTACATCTTCCTCCAGCCCTTTTAACACAATTATTGTCAAACTTGAAATAGCCACTGCCCAAATACAAACCTCAAGTTTTGCAAAAAACCTACCATGCTAGGGTGGGGTGAGGCAGCTGAAATCATTTTGGTAGAAATCCAGTTCCATTGGATGAGCATGAACACTCTGATGTGTATTACATGTGAAATATACCAGTGGTTAGAGAACACTGGACATCCAATTTCCTTGAACACAGATGAAGGAAGTTTGTGAAGTCTCTAGTCCACAATGCAAAATGCCTCAGCTCCTAAAGGGTCACACAGAGGGGTTACGGAGGAAGGTATGAAGAGGTGAGTCCCACAGAAATAGCGAGGAAACCTTCAGCACAGAACAATTTAGACATAAAGGGTGAAGATGAGGTAGATATCATAGATGACCAAGAAAATAGCAACTCTATTTATTAGTAGCTCAAGCCCAAAATTTTAGGGTCATCTTTGACCCATCTTATGTCTTGACTCAGGGATAAGATCCAAGGTTTGTGAGCCCAGAAATACATACAGTGAGGTTCCTTTTTAAAAGCCTTATTTTGGAGGCAAACTTTCCAAAATCATATGCTGATGAAAGTACCCTGAGGGTTCCAAAAGCTTCAGTAAATTCCCCTCTGCCCACACAGACTTCCTGTTGGTTCCACCTTCAGTACATGTCAAGAATCCACATTCTTTTCCACCTCCCCATCCTGACTCCAAGTACCTTCATTTCTTGTGTGAACTACTGAAATAGCCTTCCATTCTTCTGATCTTCCTGCTTCTTCCCTTGTGTTTTTAGTCTGTTCATGCCAAAGGAGGCGAATTAGAACATGTCCCTGGTTGGCTCAAAACCCTCCAAAGTTCTCTTTTCCAAGTAATAGAAAAAGCCCTTACTACGCCTTTAACAGTCCTGTTTTACCTGGTCTCACAGTGCCTCTGGGACCAAGTTTCCTCTCACACTCAGCTACTTACTCACCTCTGATATTTTTGGAACCTGCCAAACATGCCTCCAGGCCTTTGAATTTGTGTTTCCTGAATTCAGAATGCTTTTCCTGAAATCCTCACTTCCTTCATGCCACCTTACCAGAGGCCTTTCCAGACCATGCCTACAGCACTGCGCTACCCCTCTTCCATCCTCTTCTCCTTGCTTAGGAATTTTCTCCACAGGTGTAGCCTCTTTGGGCACACATTTGTTTGCTTACTAGAGGCCCGGTGCACGAATTCGTGCACGAGTGGAGTCTGGCCTGCCAGCCCCATTGTCCAATAGGGCTGGGTTGGCCAGGGGGAGGGTCAGTGGGCGGTTGGTGGGCCAGCCCTGCCCCCAATCGGGATGGGGGGGCAAGAGGGGACAGGACCAAATGGGGACCGAACAGCCAGGGGGAGGGGCTGAGGGCTCCTAGTCAGGGGACAATTTGCATATTAGCTTTTTATTATATAGGACTAGTGGTCCGGTGCACAAAATTCATGCACATTAAAAGGGAATTAGAGGAAATATTTTAATATTGCTATTTGCCCTCTCTCTATAATACAAGTGTCAGAGATGAAAGAAAATTAGTAAAATGTATATGAAAATCTCCCTCCTGTCAGAGTCTGGGGCGCACTGCGGGCCCCAGAGTCAAGTCCCCACCCACCCATGCGCTCCTCAAAATTGGATGAGACTCAGACCCGGCTGGCCCCATCCCCATCAAGCCCCACAGGGCTGGGGCGCAGCCTCAGGTCCCTGTCAAGTCCCTCTGGGGGGGGTGGGTGGGGTAGGGCACAGCCTTTAGGTCCGCTGGCCCCCTGCTCCAGGGCGAGATGACCATTTGCATATTAGCTCTTTATTATATAGGATTGTCTTACCTCTTCTAGACTGTAGCTCAATGAGGGTAGGGATTTTAATTTATTCACTGCTTGACATTTTAAAAAAATATATATTTTATTGATTTTTTTACAGAGAGAAAGGGAGAGGGATAGAGAGTTAGAAACATCGATCAGCTGCCTCCTGCACACTCCCCACTGGGTATGTGCCCGCAACCAAGGTACATGCCCTTGACTGGAATCGAACCTGGGACCCTTGAGTCCGCAGGCCGGCGCTCTATCCACTGAGCCAAACTGGTTAGGGCACTGCTTGACATTTAATAGGCACTTCATAACTATTTGTGGAAAGAAGAAATTACCCAATGTGGGGAATTAGGTTAATCATGATTACTACGAAAGAGAAATCATTTAGGGGGAGATGATGGAATTCCTTTTGGATGTTAAGTCTACTAGTAAAATGAGATTTCGTAACTTAGAAAATCTTTGTGAATAAAAACCTATTTGTGGATGAATAAGTGAGCCGAGGAGTTACCCACAAAGCACCATGATCAGGACTTTTTTAAAAAAAAAAATCAGATCTGGCTTTGCAACAAGTTACCAGTTGAATGCACGAATTCTTCAGTCAAGTTTACTCTATTTTACTACATGTTTATCTTCCTTTCTCTTCATTTTCCAAATAGGCAAGAAAGCCATCACCGACTGCAGGGACAAAATTCCTCTCAAGGGGGCATTTTCTCAAACGGTGAACGTAATCAGCGGGTCGTTTACTCAGATTTTTACTTCTATGGGTGAGGTAGCAACCGTCTCCCCCGGCCCCATCCAATCTTCATTCTGGAGGTCTCTCCCGGAGGAAGTGAGTTTCAGAGGCGCCAACCCGAGCCTAGGCGGTTCAAAAGGGCAGTCCCCGAGGGTTTGGCTCTTTGTCACCAAACCGTGCAGGGAGTGCGCGGGGAGACCTGGCTGTGCGCCGCCCCCTCCTCCGCGGGATGGGCCTCCGGCCCCTGGCCCGTGGGAAAGGGAGGTCTTGGCGGGACTGTTCTCTTGAGCACGAGGGACTGAGTTTCCCACCGGGAGGCGTCCTGGTGTTGGGGGTGCGGGTTTCCGAGTTCGGGCTCTCTAAATAACGTTCCCACCTAGGAAACCATCCGCCTCGGTTCTCCGTTTCCCAGAAGACCGGTCCGGCTCTGAGGCTCTAACCGGGGCCGCGGGAGCTGTGTCTGCCCGGAGTCCGGCTTCCGGCTCTGGTGTCAGCTCAAGTGCAGGGAGGACTCAGCCTCGCTGCTCATTCATTCGCAACTGTTTCTGCGGCGCGGCCGGGAGCCGGCGCCGGGTGGGTGGGGGTCCCGGGGGCGAAGCAGCGCGCACGAGTGCCGTCCAGGGTCGCCGGGCTCCAGCGCGCGCGGGGAGGGGACCCCGCAATCCTCGCCCGGCCCGGGGTGCCCAGCGCCCCCAGCGCAGCCCTCCCGACGCCCGCGCCGGGGAACCCGCCCACGGATCCAGCCTCGGGGGGTGAATCCCGGTGGAGAAGGCGGGGGGAAGCAAACCACCAGGCAGGGCTAAACCGGACCCCAGCCTGCCCTGTAGCTGCTGAGGGAAGTGCGCCGGGCG